GGATCGACTACGACTGACTAAAAAATACGGTCTCGAATAGGCGAGGTAATTCATCAATCCGCTGAAAACCCTTTGTTCAATAGCTTCATTGCAGAAAGGTAAACAAAGTAAGGCAAACCACGAGTACTACACAGTCGTGTTGCGATCATCGACTCACTATATGATATGAAAGTTAAATTCCAGAAACAGGCATAAGGCAGCGGTGGGGTCTAGGAAACTAGTTCAATCGTCCCAATAACAGCAAGTGAGATCTCGAATTCATCTCATCAGTCTCGAACAGAAAGAAGAGTGCATTTATACGAACACTTGGGCCAACAGACAACATTAGAAAACTCATCTGAAAAGTGATTTGGTTTTAAAGGTGAATTCAAAGAGTCTTAATCTTACGTTCAGGTACGACATAAGACTGACGGAAACTCGGAGGCAGTGTCTACCTGATGAATCAAAAGAACCAAACCGTTCGCAGGCTGTCGAACAGTTTTCAGCAACCTTATAAGTAGTGTGTTTCGTCGAGGCAATGAGGTGCGATATTGCGGATATCACCCCAAATGCAACATGAGACAGCCTTTGTGCAGCACACTCAGTTGAACAATACGGTAAACGGGAGATTCAACCCGGACTCGGTTGAGCTTTCCGTTAATGAGTGCATTTCACGAATTGTGTCCAATGTGTGCTCAGGTAAATCGTGAGGTTGACGGAAACTCAGGGACCTAATAAGCTCCAAGAGCGAAACAGGTCGTGGATTGTCGAAGGATTTTTAGCAACCTTGTGAATAGTGCGTTCCGTCGAAAACCACGTATGGTTTTTCATGAGAAAATGCGGACAGTTCCAGCGTGGATACGGGATGTATCATTAACACCTCCTGTGCACACAAGGGCGGTGGTTCAGTTCCAACCGTATTAGCTTCAATGAACGTTAGGAAGGCTCAAACATGAGTTACACGGATTCCATTCCGTACTACAGACAACCCTGGAGTTCATGTGACCAAGGTGTGCGGTGTGTGTGGTTGTTGTCGGCTAAAATGGACAATACGAGAGGTCGTGTGCACACAAGACCCGTTTAAAAGGCTCTATATGCTTCAGAAGTGACTGTACCACTCTCGCCGTAAAACGATATGTGGCTTTTGACAAATACACTTATTTCTATATCAATTTGGTTTTCATGAGAGACTCAATTGAAGCGCTCATTTATGATTTTTAAAAACCAAATTAATATGTGTATTTACCGAAATCTGTTCAATTTGGGTTCAATTAGAACATAAGGTTGACGGAAACCAAGGGACTGCGCCTACCTGATGAGCCCCAAGAAGTGCGAAACTGGTCATGGGCTGTCGAAGAGTTTTCAGCAGCCTTGTGGGTGGCTTCCTTTATGAAAATATGTGGCTTTGATTCTTTGTTGGTCACATAGCCGTTGCACATTTGGACTGAACGTTGAACTGAATGAAATGTCAACGTCACGACCAATGTTCTAATGGAACGGATTAGGATAATCAATATGCGAAACAGCTCAGCCGTAACCAAAGAATCGTCGATGATGTCCACTAAGAGTGCCAACGATGTCAATACCGTAGGAGTGTGAGGCCTGGTTCATGCTCAGCACCAAACGAAAACAACACAAATCAGTTTTGCAGTTCTGCTCTGATCACCAGCTGCTGAAACTACCGGTTGCAACAGATAAGGAACCGAAATCAAGGACAACGCGTGAACAATTAGCCATTTGGTAGTTCAGGCGATCAGAGACTGACCTCGAAGAACACATTATCATTACGGCTTCTCCATTAGCCGAACAGTCAGACATGAAAGTTGCACTCAGCGACGTGTGAACATGCTAGAGGAGGTAAGTTATAACAGATTGTGGAAACATCTAAGAAAGTAGAGTGGTCTAATGAGAACAGCTGAATGGAGCAGGAATTAGACTACTGTTGTAATGCTATGATTGAACCGGCTGTACCTCTACACCACTAACGGTGATGTACAAACAAAAAAGCAAGGAGTACCATAACGGCACAGTGATATCCACCTAAAACCATTTGATGAGGGCAGACATCTCTCATTCCTGATCTACAGCTTTCACCTTACCGTGGTGGTCGGACTTCTGTGCTGCAATGATCCTGCAGGCTACACTGGCCAGAACTCAGTTCCTAAACGTTCTGCCAAGCCAGGAAGTCCAACAAGGAGCAGCCTGACCAAGAACAGCGAGTGCTCGTACTGCGAGTAATCGTATTACAAGGTGGCTTAGAGCTAAAGTCGTGCTGTCCTCTGCGATAAGAGTGTGGAGGTAGCAGCGAGCCTGCCTTGCCCAAAGGAAAGGACCTGTTAGGAAAGGTCAGCCCTAAAAACCACACACTCCGTCCTTAGTTCAGAACTGTTTTAACTAACCTAAATACTTTTGCAGCAAGCTTTGGCATGTGCTACACATCTACAAAGTGTGAAATTTTGCTACATGACTGAGCGGGATCAAACCCAAACTTAATGGTTGCATAGGAGCCAATCGATGCGGGAGATAAATCCGTTTACCCGGCTAGTTGTATAAGGTTGGATGGACCGGCTGGAGATGAGATTATTTCTCGAATCCGGAAAACCAGGGTAGCATTTATCAACACCTATGGCATCGACGTGATGTCAATTTCAGTCAAGAACGAAGTGACTGCGCTCCATGGTGCTCTATGTATTTTAACGGTGATCTCGACTCGCAGAGGAAATACGAAAGCTGTCAGTGTTTGACCATCGGTGTCTCCAAAGCATTGGTAAGGTGTGGTGGGAACATGGGATTAGCAATGCTGAGGTACGCCAGATGGTCTTAAGAAGAAGGAACTCTCCCACGATAAGTGAATTACTCACTCTTGATAGGCTGTACCGGTTAAGACATGTACTCCGCATGCCAAAGGACTGTTGCCGCATAGCACTTTTCCTTCAGCCCTGTGTTGAGTGCCAATGTATGGCCTGGCGACGATGTATGAAAACACTAAACCAGTAAACTGAATCGGGTCAATAACTGCCGCCTCTCCGGATGGGACTCAATTCACCAATGGTTGATGACAATGGCAAAAATGACTTAACCACGCAGCCAGTGATGTTAATGTATCAAAGCTATCTCTTTTGATGCGTATCTATCCAATTCCCGAACTAACTTAGTATGCCATCGTCTTCAAAACTTAGCCGTATCTCCCATGCTCCTATTTTCCTGTGGTCGAAACCTAAACAGCTGGAACCAATGTGTTCATGGTACACAGTTTATAGCTGACAAACTGATAATGAATTGATGATTGATTGATTAATCTAGAATAACCCTCCGAATATAGCGAGTTCACCCGCTCAGTCTATCAAGGGGTGGTTGATAGACCGAAAAAGCTGTGCACAGGGACACACGACCGAAGCCTTTATGTCGACCTCGTCGGTAGGAGGAAGAAGAATGGGTTCATGGAATGGAGCTCCTCCAGATCGACCACATATTTACCTTGAAGCTGAAATTGTCTTATGAATAAAAACGGAGCAAACGAAGCAAACATATGAGATCGATTTCCAAACGATATCACGAATAGGGTTTTATGCTTACCCTATATCCATGCAAATACAATCGTGCTGGGTGCATAGGACTGGGCAACAACGTACGTGAGCCAACGAAGATGAAAATAGCTGCGGCACACTACTCTGACAAGTTAAACCAAAAGTAAACTAGCCAAAGACCAACGAACTATTGGCGACATAGGGTCTACGATTGTATGCACCCAAAAAGTTTCAACACACTGAACATAGGAACCCAACGCCATCCAAAATACCACGCAGGCTTCTCATTGCTTGTTCGAATAACCGCAGGAAGTCGAGAAACCCTGCGACTTCAACAATGACTACAGGAAACCCTGGGTGACAATTAAGCGAATCCGTGAACTGCGAACAAGCGTTCAGTATCCTGCGTGTCTATCCGAAACCTGATGCGATCTGCGCTATATATTCCGTGGCATAAACAAACCAAACCTATCCAAGTGGAAGGAGTGTCACCCACCATCATCATCACAAGGCACCGCAATGGTGGCGTTGACACATGCATCAATGCCGTACAACTATATAGTTCATTCACTTATACTCGAAATCCCAAATTGAAAAAAGCTAACAGAAAAGATGACAGCAAGACCAAATGTTAACCTACCGCAATCACTCTGAGCTATCCAGTTAGAAAACGTGGAAAGAAACTAACAGCACAAATACCACTGACAGCGACTACCCGCCATTTCTTGCAATTTCTCTAGCTAAGTGCAGGGGGTCACGAGGACAGGCAGACCGTACTCAGAACACCCAACCTCTTCGCAATCTCATTCACAGTTTCTGCAAAGTCACACGCTGTCAATCTCACAGTTGGCGTCGTTAGTGCGCGGTGAGTGAGTGCACGGTAGGCACTACCACACCTAACTGCGCTGCGCACAAGGGTTGGACGGTATCACATTTGGTCAAGAATTTTTGAACAACCAAAATTCAGCGACAAAGGTCCTTCAAACTGGCCTGATCAGCCACATGCGCAAAAGTTCTCTGAAAGTGGTCAGCACAAAAACCGAGAAGTTCAAGAGGCCCATGTTCTCTCAAGTAAACATAATCGGTGAGAAATTTCCGATTTTGGTTGACACAAGTGAGTAGATGGTATGAAGTGTAGTGTCCCTCAAACAAAAACAGTCCACCAGTAACCCCAAATATTCCTCAGTTATTAAAAGGTACAACTTATTTTAGGTGATCCATTAATACCTATATTAGCGCCAGCAAAACCAAGAAAAACGAAGAGGCACATAGATCAGGATGAATACGGAGCGCTCACGAGCGCTGAAAGGATATGACTTGGTTAAATCAAGCGGGCCGTTTCAGTTCTGAAGTAGTGCAGGCTTAAAATTTAAAAAAATTCTGTAAGCGAGATCGGAACGAGATGAGCAGATTTAATAGAAACAAACTGGTCAGCTACTTCGAGCGTACGATCGATCTGAACAGACCGAACAATCAATCAATGGCCGAGCTTACCTGACGTTCGCAACCGTCATGATCGTAAGCCAATTTTTTGATGAACGCGCTTCTCTTTGGTAATGAATGTAGAATAAGCTGGAAAAAATGAATGGAAGATTAGCAGGACGCCATGTGAACAGAGTCCCTAATAAGGTGAGGAGAATTCACATGTAACATGGAAGAAGCCGTGACAGACAACGATTAACACTAGAACACCCAGGTTTGTTTTTCTTCATGAATTTTTAATTTCCAACACGCCTAACCGTTCTAGTTGGCGTGTCGACCGTGTGCAGCTCGATGTCCTAGTGAAAACGTATTTTCCCTTGGACGTCTTTCACCAATTTCCGTTGATTGGTTAACGTGCAACAACACGGGTATTGTGAAACTTTGCCTAATCGGGTTGCAAAAATGACGTGATGTAACCATGAAATGAGTGCTTACACGTGCATATCAAAATGCTTTCAACTAAATAGTTAAAACACCATAAGCTTTTATGCATTCGACCAATACTCAGCCGGCCGGTGACCAACGTTTGGGTTTCGAGTTTCCAGCAGACCATGGATTCTAGGTAGTCTTCGTTACCGCGCAGACTGATTCTACGAGACTGCTTAGTTGTACCTCTGTTGGCGGTTCTGCTGGGTCCCTCAGGCTAAAAGAGTGTGACTTCACCAAGGCTAGTAGATTGCTTCTACACTGAGGGGTTCATTGGTCAACGGTGTGGAAACAGAAGCTACGTTCACACAATACTCAACACCCGGACCAACCACGTTAGCACTCGGTGCTCTACAATGCACGCATTAGTTCGATATGGCAAGTTATTCAACCACTGTGCAATCTGCCCTGCTTACAATAATCCAATGTAGAAAATCGACAACAGCGTTACAAGCTCCAACCGATCGCTGGTTCTAAAACAATCTGGAAGCACTGGTAATGGCTTCCCACATTAGTATGTGATTAACATGATTTGAACATATACTCGCTAAAACGGCTGTCGCCACACACTTCTAAAGAACCTAATGAATGAGCTTATTGAAACGTGTTGGTTTGCCCGCCGACCCCACGTCTAGGCCTTCAATTGTCAACCACCAACTATTAGTAGAGAAAGGTGTCAGCGGTGACTTAAAAAATCTGAACAGGATATTATGTAATGTATGCATTGATGGATTTTGTGGACTGCCATTTCACCAAACAACTGATATCACCAAAAGCAGTACAACGAAAGCAGGCTGAATGAAAACCGGTTGATTCTCGTTTCGCCTATTCTATTTTCGGCTCATGTTAAGAGCCTGACGATACCACAAAGCGTGTACACAGATGCATTTGACAGAACCTTGATACCGTCAGATTTCTCTTATTTTTCTCTATTTATTGTTTGTTATCACAAGGATCGTTTGAAAATTTCTTGGATATGAATAGATCAAAGGGTTATCAGATTTCAACACTATTCGGGACTCAGCGAATTCCAACCAAGACTATACATAAGCCATCCAAGGAAACTAACATTTCGAGAGTTAAGGACTATCAAACAGCACTAAAAACTTGATGCTTTTTGCATCATGTCTTCAAGTTAGATGCTCAAAGGTGTTGCGGTAGAAATCGACCACAGGTAATCCTTGCAGTACTACTTTCTCTTTGGAAGTCTCTGCAGACAGTAGTGTGTAAGAGTGAAATTTTGCAAGTGTTTCTATCTAAGAAGAATCAAGTTAAAACGTTAAAAATGGCTGCACGTTCATTTTAATGTCAATACTAAGGGCTCAGTCAAGTTCTACTGCTTTTGAGAGTAGATATCGATCTGTTTGATCAGGACCCTTCCACTCCTAGTGTTCAGAATCCAGTTCTCAAATTTCCTCCGAACAGGATCAGCGGTTTGGGTGAGAGAAAACTTCACTACAAAACCGGACGCTGTAGCCCTTATTGACTACTGCAAAATGGCAAAAGAGGGCACTGAGGTTACGGTTCAAAGGGAAAGGAGTCAGTGAGTGTATGAAGAAATGTGTCCATTAAAAACGGCGATTTGTAGTATGCTGTGGGCTGGTACACAATCTCACAAAGGAAGTGATACTGGCTGGAATGTCTGTTTCAAGCCCGCTGGTTGTGGGCTTCAACCGCGAGAAATTCGATGCCGTTCTGCCTGACAACAGCCATTCAACAATCCATTCTCCAGCGGAGATCTGCACTTGTCCGTGATCCACATAAGTAGTACGCCGATCACGGCAGAACTCAGGTCCGTGATGTTTATGGATTACTGAATCCAAAACGTACAAGAACAGATTTATTTGGGTTGGGATTGCTCAAAAATTGTTTATTGACTTAACTATGCTTTCAAAGTTTATGTACTATTGAAGCCATTGAAAGCACAATGTCAAATGATAATCGCCATTGCGAAGTTTGTGAAGTTTGAGACAAATGTTTTCAATAGACTGAAGAATGTGCACCTCACGTCGCCTCACTCGTGTGGCAACCGTGAAGGATTCGAGCTTGGTCGCAGGGCTGTTGATACCGGTAGGAGTTTCACAGGGTTCGATCGTCTGTCCATACTGTAGACACCGAATACAAGGCCACAGATGCTTGCGATTAGAAGAAGTTTGGCTGAAGCTTCAATTCAGTGCATACCTGCCTTACACAACGGCTCAGGCCTGGAGCAAATCACGACTAAATAGCAGACGACATAGGCAAATAAGTATTGGGTAAGGTACAGAGAAAAAGTTTGATGTATCCTTCACAGCTTCACTTTTGGCTTCCGTAATTTGTGAAGTTTAAACGAGCTTACTTGAGCTCAAAATTCGTTTCAAGTGAAAGTATCTGTTGAAACGTTTGAAAACATATTAGGAAAAATTACTTTTCCAACAATGGTACCCTAGTTCCAACTCGGGTGCCACCAAAATAGCCAATAGAAAGAGGCACCTGCTAAACTATTATATGGAATGTTCAGGAGTTTTTAAAAATGCACACGAGATGAACATTTCAATTTTCGCCTGTTCGCGTGCTTACAGGTATTGGACGGCACGGCGGCTACCCAGTCGTACCGTTCAGCTGTAACACCTTTTCGGTGCAGCTATTGCCATTTCATCAGAATAATGCACGGGGGCTGGGATACTGCCAGGTTCCCCAAAGCATGAAAATGGAAGTCGAGACGCAGAGGTCGGGTTTGAACCATGGACCTTGCGGTCAGTAGATTCGCGCTCTAAGCACTGAGCGATCCCGCCCAACACTTCTTATCGGAGACTTGAGTTGTCTCGGCGGCTAAGTTTCGCTGAGGCGACTGAGACAGCGTAACGAACACTGTTGATTTTCTCGTTGCCTACTTTAACTGTACTTCCGGTCAGCCAAGGTAAAATATATCAGCTGATTTAGCCCGTAATATGGCACTGACTCAGGTGTACCGAACAGAAATGGAATGGGCAACGTACGAAGCAAACCACCTAGTCATGGAAATCACCAACAATATGAGAAGACAAAGAAGGAAGTTGTATCGAGCAATTCTATACGGATTCAAGGGATCCTAACGAGGGGATAGGCTTTCAATTGATAAACATGATTTGTATGACAGACGAATGGTTTGACAATGTCACAAACCAACCAACAGTTTCCAGATCTTAGGGTAGAGAACTGCCTGTTAGTCACCAAGTCGGTAGTATAACCAAAATATGCCCACTAATTGGGTTTTAAAGGGAGATCCAACCGAATCTCAACTAGACCTCTCACCAGCGATGCTCTCCAACTGAATATACTGCACACAGGCTGTTTGATGTTTTACTCGGGACGGTGTTCGAGAAACCGCAATGCGAAACCGACCGTGGGCTGCCGAAGAGTTTTCAGAAACCTTATGAGTAGTTCCCTTGGAGAAAATATGCTGCGATGCGTGGGCTGTGCGCTGCTGGTCATTCCAAATAATGAGACACTCGTACAACACTTCTGGGCTCTTCAGAACAGATTGGTTTCACTTACAGGACGAAATCTTCAATACATTGGTTCTATTTAGAAAAGCAGAGTGATTATCATTGTGGAAATACACCAGTCAAACTCGAGAAATTTCGCTGCGTGACTCCTCATGGTTCTGCAATTTTCAAAGCGAATGCAATGTTGTGCAATTGAGTTGAATGATCAGATTTCTTAGACACGTTCCTACCGAACGTTGCCATGCCACCCCGCGTAAACATTCTCACACTTTCAGGTCCGGCTGAAAGGCAGTTCAACCGAACTTGTGTGACGATCCAGTCCTGCTCATTTCGATGTAAACCCCGAGTTCATAACTTTGGGATTCTGTGTGCATTTGTTAATAGCCTCCATACAAGACAACCTGGTAAATAATAAAATAACAGTAATAATAATAGTTCTTCAGCAACAACACCCTTTCGGTGCCTTGCTGTCATGCTACCCGAAGGAAACATGAAGACTGAGGTACTACCACATTTCCCAAGCCTAGACAGGATTAGTCGAGATGCGGCAGTTAAGTTACAAGAGTTAATCGTGCCTTAAGAATCTGGTGTAAAAAAGGTGCAGCAGGCGGTCAGTGAAGAGGTGACGCAAGATACGCAACCGCGGACTACTTCATGCAACAAACATACATGTGCATGCCGGGCGCCTTACGCGTTTAGTGGCATTTCTGTAGCATGCCATCATACACAGGTATTTACGAGATGGGATCTGACCCGGACTGCATTGAATAGCTCGTGAACACCAGCGAAACTTATTAATAAGGGAAAGTTATGTCGACGCATTTTACATTTGTGAGAATCCAGAATAAGTCAGCAACTCAGTAGGCTGTGACGTCCTTTAAGTAGGAAGCTGCCACAATGCCAAAGGGGAGCAAAACAGCAGAAAAGCTTATGGGTTACCCAAGCTCAATGGAGGAAAACCGAGGAAACAAGACTAAGTTTCAGCAGCGGGGCTCTCGGGCGATAGCTGACGTTCCAAAAACTAAGCCATCTTGAGGTGTTGCTCAATCAGAGAATACTGTGTGAGTCTACCGTTCAGCTGTAGCACCCTTTTGGTGCCTAGCTGCCATGCCACCCGAAGGTTGCACGAGGGCTGGGATACTGTCAGGTTGCCCAAGCCTAGACAGGGGAAATCGAGAGGCAGAGGTCGGATTCGAACCACGGACCTTCCAGTCAGTAAATTCGCGCTCTAACCACTTGGACCATCTCGCCACCTTCACCAGTATTACTGTTTTCATCTTGCAGAAACCAAAAGAACAAGAGGTGTCACGATTACCGTTTTATAAGGATTCCTCGAACTACTTTGATTCATGGTTGGTCCAGCCTAACCACAAACGTGCTTGCGAAGACTAAGGAATTCGGAAGGACTGAGATGACACTGTAAGTTTGTTTCTCTGCAAGCAATATCCTACGGCCGAGTATGATATTGACAAGGCGTGGGCTAATTTTCTGGTAATATGACTGACATTGCTCGTCCGTTTCTCAAAGTAGCTGCGCGGGGGAAACCGAAGGGGTGTGCACGATTTGATCAGGCATAAAACAATAAATCAGTCAGAGAGCGTCTTCAGTTTTTGAAGTGAACAAGGCTAACCTTAAAGGTGTGTCGCATCAGTCTGTTGTGATGTTTTGTCAGCGTTTCATCGTAAGCTTTGATGATAATATCATACATGGAATCAGCACTGGTAGACTGGGACAAATGCCAGAGGGTTCGGATTAAAAATTCGTAGGTTCGTTTGAGCCAGAGTAGTCCAACTGAACCAGAAGAATCCTTTTTGGATAGATGTAAAGTTTGTTCCTGCTGTAACATATCCCTTAGGTGAGTGGCATTCAGATCTCGGACGGCGTTGGACACTTTCTATGAAGGGAGACAAATCCAAATAAAGCAATAGGGTGATGGAAAAAAACAAAAATGAGGAATATGCTCCGAAAACAGCTTATCTACACTGTTTCATAATTCGAAAATACCTGTATACAAACTATCGACAGGTTCGAAGCCTATTGAACTAAGTATCAGGATATCGCAATCAACAAATTAACCAGTCAATAAGTAGACGATTTCAAATTTTTCACAAACTGACGCAGTAATAAAACCTACGAGGAACGACGTCCGTGAGAGCACTTCCGTCAAATAGGCAATTTCGGCAGTGAAAACGTTTCACCAGCCACAATCTCCTTTGTAGAAAACCAAACTCTCAGAATCGCATAGGGAATACGATCCAGGCATCTGAATTACTGATATAACGGAACGTCCGATACTACTGAAACGGAGTCACCTTAAACCTGAAACTGCCACCTTAAACTATTGATGTTATAAGCACAGCAGAGGGTTGGCTTGGCTATGGTTTGGCTTAAGATGCATGCGTAGCGCCAGTTGCTGGGAATGCGGAATGATGTAACCTAAGTTGGAATAGTCTGTGGAGCATACGAATACCCGCCATTGGATAATCGCCATTGTTTTCGTTAGTATACTAGAACGAACATTCGCTCTGTGGCTTTATTCGAGCTGGGTGATAAAAGTCCCCCGTTCGAGGCTATGAGAAGCTGACTGCCACACCGTATGTCCACCTCGGTCTTTAGATTTCTCAAGTACATGACACCAAGAACAACTGATTACTTGGGTGCCCCATCAAGAGCTCGGAAAAGCTGTTCAAGAGTCGGGTACCAATGACCTAGTATAAAAAAACATGCGATACAACTGGTTACAGTCATAGCTCCGATAAAGAAACGCTTCCCTTGACGAAACATTTCCGTATCCTGAAACATCCTCAGCAGAGGAGAGAAATACTGCACACACAAACGTTTCTTTCCTGAATTTAGACTTTTCCGTACAAGGTGCATGAATGTCGGAAGAAAGCGATGCAACAGTAAGGGTTTTTACGAATGGTTGGAAGACCTAGGAAGAATAATGAATCTTCATAGGCCCGGGAGTCACCAAGATGATACCAGAGATGTTGAGCGGAGTACTACACAAACTGGTGTCAGATTTCTAAGTTGATCACCCTCTTTCCTGGAGATCGATTATATATAGGCGCACACGGCGGACAGATGAGAAACATGAAAGTCCATGGAATGGAAGCTGTTGACGTCCGCAGCATTATTTGCTACTCACCCGAGTGCGTCTCCAACCCTTGAGCTTCGGGTTAGCCAGCGGCCTGTAGAAGTTCACTGAGCCGTTCCTACAAAAAGTGGAGTTTCTGCATCACTATAGACCAGGCTCTTGGGTGTTATAATTAATCTTTCCCATTTGACCCAGCGATGTGATCACCTTCACTTCCATCGGTCTGTTCTTAGTATTTCAGAACACGAAGTGATCTGATCACTGGCTCACCCTAGTGGCTATCTGGATACACATATCAGGTTAGCAGGGTTGCTGGCTGATGAGTTAGATAATCCCGTGAAGCAGGGTTGATAATGCTCTGTAAGTAACCTTTATACATATTAATGCACAAGAATGAAGAAGCGGAATTCATTCAGTGTGCCCCATTATCGAGAGGGGATGGTTAAGAGAATCGGTTATATATATGGCTAGTAGTTTGGTCATGGTGCGATAAGATTGATGCCGATGTTTGACAATAGTTGGTCGTGCACTAGGAAGCCCCGCAGAGTATTTGGACCTACAGAACCAAGTGTGCATTGAAAGATGTCAAAAATATGACGATATTAAAGAGCCCGGTAACCAGGTCTGTACTGTTCAGCGAAATATTACTGGCTGAGCAGCCCCGTGGGGCAGTATATTCCATGAATTGGTTAATTCCATGGGTAAATTGTTTTCCCTTGTTAACGTACGATGTGCTTACCAAGTTTAGAAATCCTAAAAAATAGACTACTTCAGAGACAAGTCACTCAACCGGTACAGTGTTTCCATCAACCACAACTTAGAGGATGATCCCCAGAAAGAGCTTCCTCAAAATACTCCATTTTCTCTGATAGACTATCCTCTAGTACCGACGTACAACTGCATGTATCGGGTGGATTTAGTGAAAGGTTTCTTCAAAGGGTAGAAGAACGATCCTTCTTTACTTCATAAGGTGACAGGTGATCACATACTGTTGAGACCGATGGATTCCTACTACTTTAAATACAGAAATGACTGAATTTCTCTCAAGTAAGAGCTACCACCCAGTCAAGGACTGTTTAATCCTTGGCTATCGTTAAAGGGTCGACTCTGTTGCCTCGATGAACTTCTTTACCGATTTATTTACTTGTGACACACCCACAGTGGAATATTAAAATGCCGTATGTGGGGAAAAGGAGCTACTCAGAAAAGAATTTACTTCCCTGAATATTATTGTATTATTATTATTATATTATATTATTCGTCACTGACGACTACGCAGGTACAATAAACCGATTTCCCGTAGTCATCTCGCTGATTTCAAATGGTAACTGTATTGAGCTTATCAACCCACCCAACATCCGACGGCCTTTCTAACGGTATTACTCTTCAAACCTTGTTGCCTATTAACTTGCATTTAGTTGTGAAAAGGATCGACATGCAGCTATGGACAAACGCCTGAAAACATCGCACGTACAGAAATCCTCATTATTTTCGAGGTGTAAGACTCCGTTCGTGCTACGGTATCCCCTGTAAGCAATGTTCTCGACATTAGCTCGGTCGTAGGAGTAACGAACGTGCAAGCTGAACCCTATAATGCTCTCTGAAAGTAACGGACGCACCGCGTACATGCGGCTGGAATGTCCGTAACCTGGTTGACGGTAGAAAACCTCTCTGAAAGCTTTGGCTTAAGAAAACGCAACGACGAACCGCTTGCGACTACTGACGTTTCCGCCTTCGGTTGACTTGCAGTGTCGTTTCCGGTATCCGGAAGGAGGCACCTGCCCGCGTATTGCTCCAAAAACGGCTGTAATGCTTCCCAAATACACTACAGCCTGGTGGCAGCCCGATTTTCATTACCTGTAGATCTTACTGTGGGGCGAAAACCTGGGATAATCGACCAGCTGTAACACCCTTCCGGTTCCTAGTTGCCACGCTACCCGAAAGAAGCATGAGGGCTGGGATACTGTCAGGTAGCCCCAGCCTAGACAGGAAGGTCGACAGGCAGAGGTCGGGTTCGAACCACGGACATTCCGGACAGTAAATTCGCGCTCTAACCACTTGAGCCATCTAATCCAAACCTGGAATAACCCATCAACGTGAGCCACCTCGGGGATGCCGGAAGGCATCTCCGAATCTCCTTGCGTCATCACATTTCTAGGTTCAACCAGCCTCTCTTAACAGACCAGAAGTGTTCGAACAGTGATAGTTGGGACGGATATCCAATAATGGAGTTGTGGCCCCTTGTCATACTATTCTATGCCTCTGTAAACTTATCCAACGACGCATTCTGGTTATTGTGACACGTCCTTCACGAACCATACTCCGAAGAGTCCAAACCCTTCCTGCTGCCATTGCCATGCTCAAACTTATGCTGTCGCACCAGGTGACAATAGGAAATCTGGCTTTCGGAAATCGGCCTATGGGGTCAAGCAGTAGCATAGAAAAAGAATAGCAGTACTCCGACCTTGTTGCCGATCGCGCTTCGTGGGCGGCAGCGACCCGGGGTATTCGTGGAGCTGGCTCACCCTTCTAAAGCGGAATCGCCGCAACGTACTTGGATTCCACATGGCAAAAGGCATCAGTAAACCCAATAATTCTAGGAGCAAAATACGACGGGGATGAAGCTAAAAACACACTGAATAGTCTCCTAGTTTCAGTACCATTGATACAAAGACAAAGTTGCGCCGGTGATCGACCCTAAAATCACGATATAATTCGTATCTTTGAGAATTATGGAAAAGAGCCCACTAGGAGCAATGTATCTGAGAAAATACCGTTTTGACCATCGACTGGGTGGCGCACAATAGTGATTGGAAAACTCCGCATACATCAGCCTAAATCCATTTAGGACGCTCAAACTTACACTCAGTGACTTCGGGGAACCTCAATTTTAACACGAAACATCGACTCTCGCATTCTTCCAGTGAACGAAAACAATAACTCTGTATTAACAGTTTCTGGTTGGAGAATGCTACTCTAAGAATCGCTAAAACCCCTTCACGGTTGGTTTCGCTCTTCTTGCGATTCACCAGGCAGGCGGTCCCCGAGTTTTCATCAGTATTATGCTCTACTTGGACACCACGTTGCGCGCAACAGGCGAACTGGTCGTGAGCAAAGAGTCTTAAGTGATCTTGTGAGTGAGGTTCCGTCAAGCACATGTACTGCGATGTCTCGAAAACGGTACCAATTGAAATATGAGGCGGCGCACCTAAATGGAAAATACCATAAACGGGAGACTCAACATGGATTCAGATGAATCTCTGGTTAGGCCAACTTATCCCAAGATTAGTGTATCATCATCATCATCATCATCATCACCATCAGAGAATGCAACACCAGTGCTAAAACTGATGCTTTACTGCCGAGGATATTTCAGAAACTGTACAGTGCGATTTTTGTACCATACACCCCATGACTGGCACGGCCGAGTGCCCTTGATCCGACGAACGACGCACCTCTGTTGTGCTTGCTCTCCAGTAAAAATAGCTCAGCTGTAGCACCCTTCCGGTGCCTAACTGCAATTCTACAGGAAGGAAGCACGAGGGCTGAGACACCGCCGTGTTGCCCAAGTCTAGAAGGGGAAATCGAGAGGCAGAGGTCGGGTTCGAACCATGGAACTTTCGGTCAGTGAATTCGCGTTCTAACCATTGAGCAACCCCGCCCTGCTATCCATTGGCGTCAAGCTGAATTCTTGTGCCTGCGAATCTGAGTCTTTCCTTGTCCTAGGTATACCCAAACGATGGGCAGATGGTGCGCATTGGTATCCAACCTCAAAAACGATGGTTGTCGGTGATCAG